AATCGTATTCCCTCTATGACATCAATTGACGACTCGAGCTTGACAAGCCACGATCCAAAAGAATCGAATTGATTAGGTATTCACTACTTGGGTCTAGCACTAGCCGAGCCTTGCAAACTTGTATTTGTTGGGACAACTCGAGTTTGACATCAACCGACAACTCGAGCTTGACATCAACCGACGACTCGAGCATCCTCGAGCTTGACATCGACCGATGCTCGAGTCGTCGGTTGATGTCAAGCTTGAGTTGTCGGCTGATGTCAAACTTGTACTTGTTGGGACGACTCAAGTCGACAGTTGATGTCAAGATAAATTAACAGCGTTTTAGATAAGAATATGTTAAATGATTGATCAAATTCATTTCAGATTGTAGCATGAATTATAAGTAGATGAACTTATGAAATCAGTAAATGTACGTGTTGAAAGAGGTTTGATTATAACATTCTCTGCATCAATTAGATGAGAATATGTTGAAGGATTGATCAAATTCATTTTATATTGTAGCATGATACAAGAATCAGACGACGAATTAATAGCATTTTACAGGAGTTAGAGAAGAATAAAGAAGAGAAGACAGTTCACCTTCCATTTTTTTGCGAGGAAGAATTTGAAGGAGATGAAATGAGAGTAAATATGTGCTATATACAGACACGGATATAGCATGTATGGTGTTGTTTTACACATGTTTTTTTTACGTGTAATGAAATCAAAATTCAAAACAAGTATCAATCGAAGTCTAAATCCTGTCATATTAAGCTAAAAGAATGAACGCATCTTGGATTGAAACGAAAATCCGAAAGAAACATCGTATTGATTCAAAAAGTCAGCCATGATCATATATAATTATCCTTGTATTCACTATTTAAATATTTCGATCTAGTGGAAAAAGCTCGGATGAAGCTTTCAGCGGAATTAACATAAACAGCAAGTTGAACAATAATTTGTAACGTAGATCCGCAAAAGAAAGGGTTACTCTGTTTAGAATTCAAAACAAGTATCAATCGAAATCCAAATCCTATCATATTAAGCTAAAAGAATGAACGCATCCTGGATTCAACGCAAATTCTCAGAACCTGAAAAAATTAATTATAAGTAGTTGAACTTATGAAATCAGTAAATGTACCTGTTGAAACAAGTTTGATTCTAACATTTTCCGCATCAATTAGATAAGAATAAGTTAAAGGATTGACCAAATTCATTTTAGATTGTACCATGACACAAGAATCAGACGACAAATTAACAGCACTTTACATGATTTAGATGCAGGAGTTAGAGAATAATAAAGCAGAGAAGACAGTTCACCTTCAATTTTTTTTGCGAGGGAGAATTTGAAGGAGATGGAATGATAGTAAATATGTGTTATATATAGACACGGATATAGCATTTATGGTGTTGTTTTACGCATGTTGTTTTTTCCCAATCGTATTCCCTCTATGTCATCAATTGACGACTCGAGCTTGACAAGCCACGAAATGTTCATAACCTAGTTTCTTCCATCCCTAACGGCGTGGAAAGCGGCCAACCGTATCGAAAGTTACCACTCGTTGAAGCAGGCCATTCCAAAATATATAAACGATTTTTCTTATTTTGTGTCTCCATTTTGCAGGATTATTACGGGAAGTCAAACGAAATCGAAATATTACATGTTTAATACCATTTTGAAGTGCTCATGACCTA